CTATATTATTTAATTAAGTTATATTTTACTGATTACAAAGTTTAATCAAAGTTACCAACATCATTTTATAGATGTAGTCTATCTTTAGTCTTATTTGTTGTTCTTTTGTAATAGGAAAGTTCCAAAATGATTCAAAATTCTTGAAGAAAAAGTAAAATGCAACTATTGATGCCAAAAAAATTAATTTACCACTCCGCACACGAAAATAGGTCATTATTGTATCTTTGACATTTCACATGCATTTGAGAAGAAGAGAAAGAAATAGTAGAATACCTTTTCAATTGGCAGGAACATTTCATTTTTTCACCATAACTCCCTACTGCTTCAAAGTTGTAAGCACAATGAAAATGAAACTATCATTCTTCAAATTCAAGTCATCACCCTAATCAAAATGAAAATGATAAACTCGTCGTACATGATATATATAGGAAAATGCTTTGCTCGATACTTATTTCTTAAATAGAATGCCAAAATTAATTTTGAATCTAGGTTTTGAATCATATAATTGTATTCTTGAAATATTACCTATCGTCTTTGCCTTAATCATTAAATTACACTATGATTTAAAACCTACTCTTTTTCCCTTGAGAAGGCTTTCTTGCCTTTTTTTTTTTTTTCTCCTTTGAAAATGCTTCCTTATGATATAAACATGCTTTGTAATTGTAGACTTTAATGTTATATTAAAAATATTTGTTTAATAATAGTTATGTTGACTAAAATAATCTTAAGTTAGTTTCATTAAGTTATTATTTGGAATTAAACTAAAGGAATGAGGAGATTACACATGCAAACTAGGTTATTTCTTATTGATTCATACATTACACTAATGAATAGGATGTTTATTAAATTATTTTTGTTGGTATATAAATTGATGATTACCTTTTGTGTATATGAATGAATAAGATGTTTATAAAATTATTTCTACTAGTATATGAATAGATAATTACCTTCTTACCTTCTATATATATAAGATAATTTACAAGAATTATCTAATTGGATTTTTTTATGCTATGCAGATGCTTCTTTATAGAAATTTATGATGAGATCATTTATTTTAGAAAGTTGTTTATTTACTCTAAGCATTATGTTTGTAGACATTCAATGATGTTTATTTTATCGATGTTTGTTTTATCAAAATTGGTACAATGACTTTAGTTTTTGACTTATACTAAGTTTGTGGATTATAAATAATTTACTTATAGTTTCAATGTTATTAAATATCTTTTACTTTATTGTGTTTTTTTTTTTTTTTGTTTATATGAAAACATATCATATTATGATTATAAATAAATTAATATTAATAATTAAAAATATAATTTTAAAAAAAATTTACCAACGTCTTAACATTTATACTAACACTTGATTATTAAAATATTTCAGGCGATACTAACAGTCATCAATCGTCAATAAAATATAATAAAAAAATTAAAACATATAAGTCTATACTGACAATCTCTAACCGTCAGTATATGTAAGAAAATTAAAACATACAAGTCTATACTGACAGTCTATAACCGTCAATATAGGAAAAAAAATTAAAAATATAAGTCTATATTGATGAATGTTAAGTGTCAGTGTAGATAAGAAAAATTACAAGTCTATACTAATAAACATTAACTATCGGTATAAGTAAAAAAAATTAAAACATATAAGTCTATACAGACGGGCGTTAATCGTTGGTATAGGTAAGAAATTAAAATATACAAATTTACACTAACAGGCTTTAAGTGTCAATATAAGTAAAAAAAATTACAAGTCTATACTAATAAGCGTTAACTGTCAGTATAGGCAAGAAAAATTAAAACATACAAGTATATACTTACAGGTGTTAACCATTGATAAAAGATATAACAGTGAAATATACAATAGATGCTATACCAATAGATATACATTTATTGACCGTCTTGAATCATAGGTATATCTCTGCGAGCTATTCCAATACCTTAAAAACTATCACTATAAATCTACACCAATAAAGAATATATTGACAGTTAAAAATTTATCAAAATACATATTTTAAACCTCAATATAAGATTTATTATGCTATACTGACGAATTTTTTGATTTTACTGACAGTTTTGAGTGTCAGTATATGTTAGTTTTTTTATAGTGTACTCAAAATTGAAACTCAATGTGAAAAGTAAAAAAAAAACCTAGAGCCTTAAACATCTAGCAACTATAAATCCAATCGGATTTGAGATCCAACAAAAATAAGAAAGAAAAAAATTTTCATCTAAATAAATAGTAAAATTGATGACTTGACAGCAAATTGAAGCAAATTAAAATTTAGAGACAATTTATATATATTATTATTGATAGTTTGTTTCTTTTAATCCATTATGCTTTATAATTTTTGTTTTATTTTTCACTACAGTTGAAAGGAATTTTCCTTTTATTCTCTCTTTTTGCTACTCAGAACTCATTCTTCTTCTCAAAATTAAGATTGAATTGGGTATTTGTTTCTTCAAAATAGAACTTTTGATAAAAATTGATAATGCAAAATATATATATATATATATATATATATTTTAACAATGGTAATGTTAAATAGTATTTGAACGAGCATAAACCATGCATATACTTCCATTGAAAAAAATTGAAACTCCATAAACTCAGATCACATATAAAAACACCAGCATATACGACAGTTAAATCATCATCTCTTATTAAAATATTTTAATTTTGAAATAAAAAATATTCGAATTAATTTTTTGAACAAATATATATTATATATACCAATCATTTGAAATATTCAAAGTGATATTTTATTGTATTATTATTTCTCGTAACTTGAGATCCTATCACGTAGTCATAAACAACCGAAACAATTATCATTTCTGTTTCAATTGATTTGACTCAGAAAATTGTCACCTTTTTCTTTTTTTTTTTTTATGGCTCAAAAATTCCAAAAACCAAAAAGAAAAAGAGAAATTCGAAAGGAGGGCGATGAACCTAGAATAATTGAACTTTGCTTTCATTTAAACAAATATTTGTTAGGAGGGAATTGAAAATACAACTTTCAGCAATGAGAGAGAGAGAGAGAGAGAATAAATGGATAATATTAGGCCCAGTAAAAACGGGCCAAAATTGGGTCCGAGATGGATAATCTTCGAACCCGAAAAGAGCCAACATTGGGCTCTGACGTGGATAAATATTCAGCCCGGTACAACGGGCCAAAATTAGGATGTTATTTTGGACCAAATAATTATTTATACAATTTGAATCAGCTCTACTAGCTATGGTTGTCGAATGAGTTGAATGGTCCATGACTCATTTGACACGGTAATGAATGGTTCAACAATTGAGCTGAATCAACCACGGCATGAATGGTTAAGTAATCGAGCTGAACCAACCACGATATATATATATATATATATATATGCTATGTTAAGTTAAAAGATTTTAAACTTATAAGCTAGGCCATACGGTCCACTAAGGGTTAATGTTAATATGTGAATTAATATGATATGATACATAAGCTCAAATATCTCATGGTATATTGACCCATAACTATTATAAATAAGCTTTTGACCTTTGAATTTATTTTTATTATTTTTTATATTCTAGTAAAATTATATTTAATTTTTAGTAATTTATAAAATAAAATTATATTAAATAAATTTACTTATTAAATATTTAAATTATTAATAGATAAATTATATCTAACTAGTTTGTAAATCGTTTGATGCACAAATTTCTTTTCTTTATTTAAATTTGTGTTATAAAAATAAATTAACATTCTTTTTAAAGTTATATATTCAAAAATTTTAAACTTATGGTATATATATATATATATAATATATATAATATAAAGAAGATTTTATTTGTAAAACAAAAGAAAAGATTGGTCGAAAAAGCATAAGGAAAAACATGAGGCTACATTTGCTACTTCTAATGATCTTACATAAACTACACTTAATTAGTATTCTAATGTGTCTTTAGGTATATTTCATTTTCATAAGATAATTGCTATAATTAATTAGCTAAATTTATAATGCAATTTAAGCAATCATTTATTTTTGCAAATGATAAATCATTTAATGATTTAATTAGAAATGGTATACCATTTAATCATAAAACAGTTTTAAGAAATACTGTTAGATCAAAAGCTTTAAAAAAAATTTTCTTTTAAACAAAATTTAATATCTAGTTGATCAAAATTTTTTTTTTAAATTTTACTTATTTTTTATATATGATTAGTTGGCAAAACTTTAGTTATTTTGTGTATTACTGAACATTGAGTAGATGATGTATGTGTATGCATTTTTAAAAAAAATATATTAAGATTATAATTTCAATATATTTATTTAATAGATTTTATTATTCATCTCCATTGATGTAAATATTTTATTGAACTATATAAATTATGTGTTTTTTTATTTCATTTTGCGTTTATTATCTTCTACATATTATTTTTAATAATAGATAAAAAAAATTTAAAATTAATTTAAAATTTAAAAATATATTAATGGACTATGCTTGACCTAACTCGACAGGAAAAATAATATTGTATCTAGCATGACACATCCCATAAAGATTACGCGTGTTGTGCTAGGTAATACCTTTAACCTTCATGGTTGTGCTAACACGGTACATTAAAATAGTATTAGACCGACACAATTTGTTGACATAAATTAATATTTAAATGGATTATATTAATCAAACATGAACTATTTGACACTATTAATATCCAAAACCCTAAGGTCATGACGTATAAAATAATAAATAAAATAAAATAATAATTATTTTATATTATATTTAATTCATATCTAAAAATAATTATAAAAAAATTATTCATTTTCTTGATATTAATTTATAAAATTAAATTTATATATCTTACTATATCTTTAAAAATTACATTAATAATTTAAATTATATAAATTTAAAAAATAAATAATTTTAACTAATAAATAAATTATCCTATCTTAATTTATATATTTATCATATATAAAATAAAATAATATTATTTAATCAAAATTTCTTCCTATTATAATATTTTGTGCTAGGTGCATGTGATACCTCTTTCCTCTCTTCCAGTAGCTTCTCTCGGACCAAAAAGAGAAGATGAGGGAGATAAGATGGCGGCCAGCGATGACACTGTTTTGCAGTTCAATACGCCGTCAACGGCGAGCCTGTTGGCGAAGGTTAACTCTCTCGTAATCTTTAACATTTGCGATTGCTACGTAAGGCGTCACGACCAAGCCGAGCGCGTCATCGGCACGCTGCTCGGCTCTGTCCTCCCTGGCGGCACCGTCGATATCCGTAACTCCTATGCCGTTCCTCACATAGAATCCTCCGAATACATCTCCTAATTTTTATTTTCAAATTTTGGTTTTTTTTTTATTTTTAAATTTGTTTTTTGGATTGAGATCTTTTAGCTTATAATTAAGTTTGGATGCTTTCTCTAATTTTTAGGTAATATTTTTTAAGAGCAATAAGCTAAATAAAGAAAAAAAAAAAAAAGAGATAAATGATGCCAATATTGTGGTTTTTTTAAGTGAATTAAATGAGTTGATTTTCTTTATTTTTAATTGTTCCTTATAAATTGAATTTGTTTCTTATTGCTTAATAGTGTTAGAAATATAAATTATTTAGGGTAGGCTATGCACAGTAATATGAATTATTTTGGATTGAAATACTTTCATAAGTATGAAGACTTCTTCAAAAAAGAATAGAATCATGTTTGAAGAGTCCATGCTCATGTTATTTAGTCTTGAACTGCCGGAGGGGTTTGCGTTCTTGAAAGTTATGAATTCTTGTGGTTCGGAATTGGTGATTCTTATGCCAAAGTCCAAATAAGAACACAATTTTATGTTAAGTGAATAAGTAATTAAGTCTAAACATTATCTGACTCATGAAGATGAAATCTTTTGCGTTCACTGCTTTTCATGTTTGATTTCATATTCATGTTATTGATTACTGACTTAAAAAAGGTTGACTTTTTAATTGACGTGGTATAGTTTTGTTTACTCTGAAGTTTGCTAAGTAATACTAATAATGACATGTTTTCGTAGGGTCAGAGAAGTTGAGGTTTTTTTTAATTGCTTTTTTAATTTTTCAATATGGTTTCAGGTTGCTTTGGATATTGAATACCATCATAATATGTTAGTCTCCCACCAAAAAGTTAATCCAAAAGAAGTCATCGTTGGATGGTAATTCCCATCTCCCTACCAAGTTTTATTGTTTTTCTTGGAAAAGAAAAAAGGAAATAGTTGTTGAAGCTCTTCGGTTCTTTTAGGCTGTTATGCAAATGTAAGACTATTTGAATTAAAAGTGTCTCATATGTTCTCTTTTCCATTGTTACAGTCGAACTGAATGACCTCCAAATACAATTTTGTATATTTCTCTAAGTACCAACCTGCCTATAATTCTGTGTAACTTTGCAGGTATTCTAATGGGCTTGGAGTCACAGTCGGCAGAGCATTGATCCATGATTTTTATTCTAGGGAAGTACCTAACCCTGTTCATTTGACAGTGGATATGGGATTTAGGAATGGAGAGGGTTTGGTAGCTGCAATAAGCTGGGGAATGCCTGAAATTTGATCAGTTGGCCCCTGGATGATTTATATTTATATATACATCTTTAGGTGGTTGGTTGGTGGAAGGAGGGCTGCGGCTTCAAGGATGGGTAACTGTGGATTATGGTTATATTCACATTGCTTCTGATCTGATCTGTGCTTCTTGGGCTTTGTTTACTGTCTTCTCAGTAGGGAGTGTTTCTTGTATAGAGTATGTAGCATTAGGGTGTGAACTATTAAATCATTTCTGAGAAACATTTTTTTAATTAGTCAATTCTTACCCCCAATAATTAAAGCAAGGACCCCGGCAATTCGTGTTGGCAAGTAATTCTGCCTGACAATTTGAGGTTCAAAGCCTTGTGTCTTGTATGATCTTTGTATTTGGGGTGTTTAGAATGATAAAGCAGTGTGGTAGCTGAAGCACACATTCCCCTCTTAACATGTATTATAGTGTGATTCGAGTGAAGAGGAATGTTTATATATTAGTTCTTATGTAGTTATGCCCTGCATGTTTTTAACATCTTTCTTTCAACTGTTACCACATATAAGAAATTTTGATACAATCTAATTAAAGATATTTGTTGTAAAATTAGTTGACATCCTCAAACGACAGGGGTTGACAAACTGCCAAATGATTTGGAGGGAATGGAAGTCACTATGGAAAGACTATTGGCTTTGATAGATGATGTCTACAAACATGTTGATGATTTTGTGGTGTGTAATTTTGCTCTATCTTCTTTATCTATATTCAACTGCTGCCTTATATAATTTTTGTTTTTCATTCTCAGGAAGGGCGTGTTGCAGCAGATAATAGCACAGGTAGATTTATAGCGGATACAGTAGCATCCTTACCTAAACTATCTCCTCCTGTTGATAAGCTAATGAATGATAGTCCGCAGGTTCCTACGATTAAGTTTAACTTATTTCGAGTATCATAATAATTGTTTAAAAGTTAGCATTAAAACAAAGATTTGGTGCTTTGGTGGTGAAATCTCGCAACTCTAGGATATTAACGCTAAAATACTAAAAAAGATCACGAACTTTATTGTATTGTTTTATTTAGATAAGTCTCTATACTTTTAATATATTGAAATAAATTTTTATTTTTTGATCTGTATTCAAATAAGATTTTATATCAAACAAAAAATTGATTTATATTAAAAGCTTATTTTGGTACAAATTAAATGTTAAGAACTTATTTGAATATAAATTAAAGTTTAAAGGCTTATTTGAGTGTAAAGTAAAGGTCAAGAGCTTATTTGAGTGTAAGAAAAGTATATAGGTTTATCGAAGTAAAGGGGTAAAGTTTTGAGACATTTTTTATTATTTTAGCTGATATTAATTGATGTATTTTATTTAGGGAGTGTTTGGTATCTTTTGCAAGATTATTATGGTAATGTAATCATTGAGATGATCTTATTTTCAAGGTGATTTTATCACTCTTGATTTGAAATCACTTTGTTTAATTAATAATTATTAATTTTTGGAACTAAAGATCATTATATTTGATATTCTTAAAAATTTAATATTTTATTTAAAAGTACAAAAATAATCATGCATATTGAAATAGTTACACAAATTAATAATTTAAATATTGTTTAAAGATAATAATTTATAAAATATTAGCAATATTTTATTTATAACAACATATAAAATTAATAAATGTCTTAATTAATAGGTGAATTAATTTTATAATATAAATTATATAAAAATATTTGAATTAAAAAATAAAATTAATATATTAAGTTCATAATAAAAAAATTATATACAAAATATTAAAAAAGTAAAAAAAAAAACAATTTATTTTTTAACTTGTTATATTGAATATTAATTTGATAATATAAAAATATATAATATAAAATAATTACAATTTTAAAAGTTAGAAAATTTTTAATTGACATATTAAATAGATAATATTAATTATTGTTAATTTTATATATTATTTTATTTTGGTGATAGAAGTTTTTATCGTTTTGTATAAAAATTAGATCACTTTCAGTGGATCACCGTTGCATAAAATCACCGATTACTCAGCAAACATAGTGATTTAATCATTAGTAATAGATAATTATAGTTTTTAAAATCCTAAGATCCTATTCTTCCTGGAACATACTTAAAACGTCTGGCTGTAATTCTTGTGGCTCTCGCTTCGCGCGGGATTTGTTGCTATTACTATACTTGTCAAGCGCCACTATGACGCAACTCGGCTTAGCAGATAAGTTGAAAACAGCTGCTCAGATCCTGTAACTTCAGTCCAAGTGATAAGTTTCTGTTGCTAGGCAAATCATACTTTGTTGCTTGTGGCCGTTTTTCTCTGAGAAGGTTGTGTAATTCTTATTCGTGGTTTTAAGTTAGGTAAAATTGCAGTGTAGTTTCTATATAATTTTGCTTTTTAATTCGTTCTTTTTTCTTTAGAAATCTTGTTTATCTTGTAATTCTGTTTAATTTTGCTCTAAAGATTTTATCTATGAATGGAATAGTCGTAGGGGAATGAGAATCGGGCTTTAACTTGTTGAGGGCAAATTAAAGGTAGCCAACTGCAATGCCAGTTTATTCTTGGTATTTCAGGTTCTCACATTGGGTTGTGCTTTGTTTGAAAAACCCTGCAACATGAAACAACTTTTTCTCGTCTATAGAAACTTAATGAGGGCATAAACAATTAAACATTGTCGTGTATTTGAATAAATCTATTTACGAGAGGTTTTTGAAATGCTTCAAAATTATCAGACGGCAAGGGGGAATTGAAATGCATGAGATGTAATGATTTTATTAATTTTCAACGACTCTAATGTAAAATTAACATATTTTTTCGGTTGATGCAATAATAATTTATTAATGTGATTATAATATTTTATTTATAAATTATTTTATCTCTTCGTAAATGGATAGACTTTATATATGAGAATAGTTGCAAGTCATATAATAGTTACAAATGGCTACCTAGCTGAATTATATGTCGTAGTTTCAACTCTCAAAACCAATGAAACAATGCCTCGAGCTAGCTAAAAAAATAGTTAAAATCTTATGAATTGTCAACAATCCATGTTGCAAACAATTAATGTACTTTACAATGTTATGTGAATGCATCTCAAGACTGTTTTTTAATTACTTGTCTTATAGTTCCAATTTATCATTTTATTAGATCAGAAGATATTATATATATTCTGGAGAAATTGAAAATATAATTAAAAATTAACAAAAAATAATAATGTAAATAGGTAACAGTCAATTAATATATAAAAAATAATTTTATTTTTATTTCTAATTATAAAAAAAAATTTATAAATTAAACATTTTATACTTGTTCTCATTTACTCTTACAAACAATAACATTAAAATAAAAATTCAACTATAATTATGTTCTATATATTATTTTAATAAATAATATTTTGTTATTTCTTCATTATTAACAAATAACAATATTACATAAATAATTAATGCAAAATTTGGTATTCATCTTAATAATTTTTTATTTGTTTAGTTATAAAATATAAATTATTTTATGTTATCTTTTTTAATCTTAAAATTGTTTTTCAGTTATTTGTATTATATATTTTACAATTTTATTTGTATGATTTTTCTTTTTAATCTTATAAATTTATCAACACAAATCATAAAATTGAAAGCCATCATCGTACCATTTTAGCTATATGATTTTTTTCATAGATACTTTGATTGTAAATTTCGGTGTCTTTCTATTTAAAAAAATTTAGCATATTTGAAACGCCCCTCAGTTAAGATTTGACATTTTTTACAACTACATGCATATTTTACGACGTAGTAGAAAATAAAATTACTACACAAATATTTACATTAATAAAATTTTAAAACTAAAAATAATATACTGGTAGCTTTCAAATATGAATGAAATTTTACTGTTCATTTTACTTGTTTATGTTAATAAAATTTTTACTATTTATTACTTACTTTTCTTATATATTTACAAAAAATAATAATTAATTGAAATTTTACGTTATTAACTTAATTATATACATTCTAATAATATTTTTTTATAGTTGTTCTTTCCTTTTATTATGTTTAAAATTATCATAGTTTTTTTTTTAATTATGTTAATTAAGACACTTTTTACACATTTTACACCAATGATACAAATTTTACATTTTTTCTTGCGAGTTTAAGTTTTAAAATTTTTTATTATTTATTGGATTTTTCTTTTATATATTTACATGAACAATAATCAATTAAAATTTTATATTGTCAATTTAATGATTTACGTTATAATAATATTTCCACATGGTTGTTCATATATTCCAATAAGTTTAGAATTATTATAACTCTTTTTTAATATGTTATGGCACTTTTTACTCATTTTGTATCAAATGATACAAATTTTATATTTTTTCTTTTCTTGTTCACGTTATTTTTTTGTTTTTAAAATTTTATCTGTTTTTCTTATATATTTACAAAATAATAATAAATTAAAATTTAACATTGCATAATTATTTATGTTATAATAATATTTTCTTACAATAGTACTTGCATTACTTTACGTTTAGAATTGTTATAACTTTTTCTTAGTATGTATTACGATACTTTTTACTCATTTTATATCAAATGATATGAATTTTATGATTTTTCTCACTTGTTTATGTTACCTATTTATTTTTTAATTTTTAGCTTTTTTGTTTATATATTTACAAAATAATAATTAATTAAAATTTTATGTTACCTATTTAATTGTTTACATTACAATAATATCTTCTTACAATTGTTTTTATTTTTTATTACGTTTATAATTGTTATAGCTTTTTTATAGTGTGTTACAACACTTCTTACTCATTTTACGACAAATGATACAAAATTTACATTTTTCTCACTTGTTTACATTACCTATTTGTTTTTTAATTTTTAGTTATTTTTCTTATATATTTATAAAAATAATAATCAATTAAAAGTTTAAGTTATATACTTAATTATTTATGTTATAATAATATTGTTTTACAATTATTCTTACCTTCCATTACTTTTAGAATTATCGTAACTCTTTCTCACTCATTTTACGCCAAATGACACAAATTTTATGTTTTTCACCTATTTGTTTAGTTACCGATTTGCTTTTTAATTATTAGCCACACATATATATATATATATATAAATAATAGTTAATTAAAATTTTACATTGTCTATTTAAATATTTATGTTACAATAATATCTTTTACAATTGTTCTTATATTTTGTTACGTTTATAACTATCATAGTTTTTTCTTAATGTATTATGACACTTCTTACCCATTTTATGTTAAATGATACTAATTTTACGTTTCTTCTCACTTGTTTACATTACTAATTTTTTTTAATTTCTAGCTATTTTCCTTGTATATATACAATAACAACAATTATTTAAAATTTTACATTATTATCATAATTATTTATGTTACAATAATAAACTTTTATTGTTGTTTTTACTTTTCATTAGGTTTAGAATTGTTGTAACTTTTTCTTGGTGTATTATGATGCTTCTAATTTATTTTATTCTAAATGGTATTAATTTTACATTTCTTCTCACTTGTTTGCATTATCAATTTAGTTTTTAATTTTAGCTATTTTTATTATATATTTACAAGAATAATAAATAATTAAAATTTTACATTATCAACATAATTATTACCTTTACAATAATATCTTTTTACAATTTTTTACTTTTCATTATATTTACAATTGTCATAACTCTTTCTTAACATGTTACAATACTTTTTACCCAGTTTACACTAAATGGTACTAAATTTATGCTTGTTCTCACTTGTTTACATTATCAATTTATTTGTCAATTTTTAACTATTTTTCTTAGATATTTATAAAACAATAATTAATTATAATTTTACGTTATCAATATAATTATTTAAATTACA